GCCGTCGTGACCTAAAGGATAAGACAGAGAGATAAGAGGATAAGAAGGAGAATCCCGCATATAGATCCCAAATTGTCTTCGGAAATAAATTTTGATTACGATCTTACATTATGAAGAAATAACATCTTGTAATAAAAAAAAATTAAATTGAGTGGGTACAACCATCCTGCCTATTTCTGCCGCGAACCACTCATGCGTCCTGGTTTGAAGGGTGAGCAGACTTCGACCTCTAAGTGGACGGTGAGCTTGTTCACCAAATGCACTAAAATATTATTTTTAGTTCATAAAACCATGACCCGTTGCTAGTTGCGACAACATTCCATTCGGAGCCGGCGCCACGCGACGCCTAGACTTGTTTATTTTTCATTTCCGCTCGAACATACCAATCCTCTCGACGTGGTTTCGCGACCCGAGGGTACTCATTTGTACAAAATAGTAGAAGCTTTCCCGTTGTTATAAAATTAACAGTAACAATAACGTATTCCAGGTAAGGCGGAAAATATACATAATGTGATTTATTTCACAATAATTTAACGCATAGAGTATCTAAGTAATTTACGCACATAATGATTTAAATGTTGACTGACCGACAGCGATGAAGAAATTAACGCTCAATTACTGAATCTAGGCTTGTGAATCCCAATATCAGATATGTTCGTATGACAAATAGTTTTATCTGATTTTTGGCTATATACATGTAGTTTGTTTATATTTAAACATATATAGCTATGTATTACTCTCGAATTCCCTTATTACGGGAAAGTCTAGCTTGGGGTCAGAAGACCCTGTGTGATCTGACCCCGACTATTTTATGAGCTCAACAATTACCTTATCTAAGCGCAAATGTTACAAAAATCAATTTATATTCAACGTCATAACAGATAAAACCTTGAACATAAAACATTTGCATTACGAGTTCAAATTCGAAATTATTCGAATTTAAAATGAATATCAGATCTATTTTATTTTTAAAATTCGTGCGGTAGTAACATTTTAGTTATGTGAAAGCCTAACAAAAACACAGACGTGGAAGCACATCGGTACATAGAGCACGCAGCCAATGTGACGGTTCGTTTATCTCAATATCGCAGACTGCCGCGTACGTGCATGCAGTGTACGAGACTGAAATAAAATATATTCTAAATTAGACAAGTCTTATCCGTCCAATTCCTCTATTGAGAAACTAGTAGAACAGACCGAATGACCTCACACGATAAGTCTGTTATTATCTATAGGTATATTAATACGTGAAGCTAAAACTTTGTACCCCTTTTTACGAAAATTGCGCAGACGGAGGAGTAGGAAATTTCCCACAATAATAGAGAATATATAGAAGGAGTGCAGAATGTTAATATTTTTTTTAAATTATGCATAAAAAACCCATTAAATCAATGAAAAACAAAATTACACACACTACCATGTGTTTAACACATACACGCATGCATACCTACTATTTGTTTATTGTCAAACTTTTCTTTTTGCAAGACTGTCAAATTGAGAATTAAGATTAAATATTTTTTATTATTAATATTTGTCTAAAGTTTAGTCTTGGCGAAATCTGTGATTATAGAAGTTTATACGTCTTTGACAATAGAATCATAATAGTGTACAAACTTATAATTTCAATTAATTACAGTCGAATTTCGACTACCGGGGGACCACTAGGTTAAAAAAAAAGGTAAGCTACTGCTGCTTTTTCAATCTACTGTTGCGCCTATGCTCTTGTAAATGCGTACAATTTCAGTGCTTATTGAAGACCGTAGACAACAAGCGTGAATGCCAACCAATCACCAACGTTTGCCACCAACGTTTAGACATATTTGTCGAAGTCTGAAATTCTCGCATTCACACTTCGCGACAGAAAAAAAAAACAGGATTTATTATCTACTGGTGTGGTGTTTTATGTATACAAATAATTGAAATATTTCTTTAAAATTTCCAGCGTCCAGGAGAATTTTGTTTCAATGGTGGGCTTTTAGCGAATTATATTGCACATGCTGTCGTCAAACTGTACCAGTTTACACAAATACTCACTAGATGACGTTGTACCAGGCGTTGTTCTTCAGATTAAATGATGCATTTTATTCGAGCTTCTGAACCTTTTGATTATAACACGATTATAGCCGCCGATAACAGCTAGGAGATTATCAAAATAAATGAATTCATTGGTAAAATATAGTTTTTTTATTATTTAACAAACTTACATTAAATATATTATTTATTATTATATAGCTATAAATTAGGCATTCGTGAACTCAATTTCAAATGTACTTACAGTTACATTTTAAGTAAGCTTCATTACGCCATCGACAAGAACAAAACAAATAACTTTTATAATATTTTACATATTTAACAACAAAAAAAACTGTTAGTTTCACAAGTGACGTTTTCAATTACTAAAAAAAATAGAGATTCTGTTTTGTCTTTGACAATGCTTTGATGGTATTTACGGCCGTTTTCCAATTACTATATCTATAATTGGAAAACTACCATTAAGTAATGGTTAATTACAAAGCATAATGGGACTCAGTGACACACAATGCCGAATTATGCTGAAGCTTAGTTGAGCATTATGCCGCATAATGCGCTCTTGTGCTGTAATTGGAAAACGGCCTATATGACATAAATTTCATGCTAATAAAATGATTGTTTATTATAAGAGGTTTAATGGTATTAAAACGATCGATAGCGTAACTTTAAAAATAAAAGCACATAGTGTTATCTCTAAATAAGCAACTGAACTAGCATACCGCATCCAAAACTGCTGCAATTATAATCTAAGAAGAAAAAGTGAAAATGTTTACAGTGAAATTATCTGTAAATCTCACAAGCACTTACAAAGAGTGGCCAATTTTTTATTAAATTGAAATTTTAAATATTACGTTTAAGCAAAGTAGCGCCATCTAGCGGTCCAGCTATTAAGAATTTTCAGTTGCCATTATATTAAGTTCACAACTATAAAACTTAAGTACTTTAAGATAATTAGGCTAATGCAGGTTTTTTTTTATATCCAGCCAAGAGTTGCCAAGATCAAAAACAACGCAAAACTTTTTAAGCACTAAACATAACATTAAATCATTTCAAAATAAAATTCTAAATTATTAAACAATACAACATTTTTTTTAAATGGATGCGGTGTCGTATAAAATTAGAATTAAAATTTCATAAATGCTACTCTATCGTCTCATATCACAGTCCAAAGCTTCCAACGATGTGATAACTAACTCAGAAGTACACATTTCATTTCCATATTAGCTATAAGCCGAATTTATTTAGTAAACATAAACTTATACTCTATGACGTAAATTGGTATTGGAATATTCAAAATCTAAACAAAATCCGAAATTAAAAAGATCTTATCGCAACAGGCTCGAAATTTGATAGATAAATATTAATCCACACTTTTTCGTTCCGCGCCTTACAGATTCAACCATACTTGATATAAAAAAATACGATATGTTGAAATAGTCCGAGACCCGAGTGCTTCTATGTTTGCTTATTCCGTGTCAGTAATATGTTTCACATTGGCAAAAAAAGTGGAGTTCGAATTGGGCTAATGTGTTTTGAACAAAATATCACCAGATATAGTCCAAATCTATATTTGACTTACGAGAAAAAGCTATTGTTAGACCTAAGGATTGTTGAAGAAAATTAGAATTGTCTTCGGGGTTTGATTATAACCTGTATACAGGGTGTGAAGAAACCGTTCTCCCATACGAAACAGTAATAAGCTATTAGGCTAAGCCAAAAGGAAATCAATATTAATTTATTTAATCATCTGTACCTACAAAATAGTTCAACGATTTTTCTCGTCTATTGTGAAGCTACTGCCGAGCTTTACTGATAAAAAAAAATTAAAATGGTTTTTCTGACTTGAAATTCACAAGAATGTAAATAGCAAAACAAATGAGAAAATTTAATACAAAAGTCTTGCAGGGTCAGTGAATACGAATTTCGATTATTGGGTGACAATTAATAAATTTAGACACTAAGTTGTTTTACTAATAATATTAGTATTATATTTCGTGAGCCCGCAATGTAATGCCAGCGTCTTTGTTTTTGGGAACAGTTCTAATACACCTGTTATTCCAAACTATGAACATATTATGTACAAAGTCATAAAAATATCGTTAGATATCTTTAATGGTAAACAAATAAATATGTGTATAGAACTAAGTAGAAAATATAAATTACATTCAATAATCTACATCAAATAAAAATATAGTATTCTTTAAAATATATTTTTTTCATTAATTTGTTTTTTTTTTCAATCACTATTTCTAGTTGTATTCTTGATATGTTATTTTTTCGGCGTCAATATTTCAATATCAGTCCGCTTTCGACTGCGTAATAAAAAGGCAAACAAAAATGCGAATTCACAAGAACGCGATCCTACAATAAGAGTAATAGTAATGGCACTTTTTATTCGTAGCGTTTGCGCATGCACAGGTTGTTTCTTTTTGCAAGAAAAAATGCTGGTATGATATCAAAAGTTTGCATTAGTTATTGGAGTTTACTCCTTTAGAATCGATTTACATATATAGGCCCGGGGTATGAAAATTATGGGGACCAAAATCGTACTAGCATGTCACACGAAATGCGTTATGCGCCTGATTGGCTCCTGATTGCGTGATGCGTGCGCGCGCCAATCAAAATCGTACTAGCATGTCACACGAAATGCGTTATGCGCCTGATTGGCTCCTGATTGCGTGATGCGTGCGCGCGCCAATCAGGAGCCAACGCGCGGCCGCGTTATCGCAGGTGACGCCGGGCTGCTGCGCCGGCAGTCCGCCACAAAGCCTCGTACTGATCGCGCGTTTCTCTCATTATTGTATTTTCATATATTTGTTAGTCGTTTGTTTTGTGTCTCGTTAATTTGTTAATAATCTGTAGTGTATCGTGTTGTCGTAATATAGAACTATTTCTCGTATTGTTTCGTTTAATTTTTTATATCCAGTAAACTCCAGTCGTGCGTCGGAGCGGACACACACACTTTTTTTTAAATAAAATCATGAGTGTTAGTATACTACTCGTTACCACGGCTGTGATTGCTGTGTAGGCAGATGAAATTCTAAATACCCAAGGGAAAGCTACTTTGTTTGCGATTCCGAAACGAGCTTAATCAATAGACTTAATGTGACGCAGGAATTCATGATCGCCTAACAACGTTGGCATATTCCTTGGGCACTTTATTCAAAGCAAGTAGCTAGTGTTTGTTTCATTAGGACTTTTTTTCACTTGTCACAAAATAGTTCAACAGTAACCGATTAGTACCATTATTAAAACTACTTTTAGAGTCTAGTTTCGCGTTAAAATTGAATATTCAAGTAATATTCAAATTGACGGTAGTTTACTGAAACTTGTTTGTATAAACTACCGTCAATTTTTTTGTATTCACTCAAAATACAATATTCAATTATAGACGAAATAAACCTTATAGTTTATTATTTACTAGTCGTCCGTGGCTACGATAACAAGGAAATATACGGAATTATCGGAGATTATAAAATTAAATTAATAAACGCGACATTAAAGCGGACTTGCGAAATCCGAACAAAATACTTCGATTAGCTCTAGTCATAAGTATTATATATTCCTATAAACTGTGCTACAGAATGAAGTGATATTATATTTATATTAATTCAACATCAATTGTGATGGCTATTGAACATCAAGACTACAAGTGTTATATCTCAACATTATGCGCATAATCAGATCTACTTTTTGCTGATTTTTATCTTGAAAAATTGTGACGTAGATACATCTACATTACAACAGGATAGTTTGAAGAATTAAAATCAAAATTTTGATGTCTTAATATTTAATAGGGGTTATGACGTATTTTGAATTTTCTGAGGTGAGTACCACCAATAAAAAATTGAGTTGGTTCAAATGTCTCAAGATGGCCGCGTTCACTTTGTACGATCTATGTACTTTGATACCCACTTAGAACTAGATGCGCAATAAGTTCGTTTACTCTAAGTTAAAATGTAAGTTAGAATCAAAATATTTTACAATGTTTCAGGACAACCAAATAATGTTTCATTTTGAGTTACATTGACACTACTCTAGCTTGGAAATAGGCAATTAGATAAGTTAGAGTAACTTCAATTATTGTGGGAAGACAGTAATAACTAGGCAGTTTAATGACATTTTTTGGTGAAAATAAATTAGTATATTTAACACTATTTTATTATCATGAATCTGTACCCATCTATGTAATGGAATCATTAAACACAATTTTCACAAACTTCAAGACATCCGGTTACTTAAAACTTTTTCTCACGTATCAAGGACTGATGACAATACAATAATTATATTACTTTGGCTTAATATCCTGACGAGGACGACAGAGATAAAAAAAAATTAAGTTCGGCTTGCGATTTAGGCGTTTTTTATTTATTTATTTCAATCGATTATATTCTTACTTAATATAATTTAATTAGAGCTGGTGAATCCGAATCACGCTAAATGTTGCAAATCTAAGTTTTTGAAACTCAAGGAATGGTTAATCGATCAAAAAATACGTTTAACGTATCTATTTGACAGAAACCTTCTCTTTAGCTTGAATTTCAATCAACTATGTTAAGATAGAATTAAGGTTAAGATAGATAGGCAAAGATTATTTTTATTATTAACAATTACAGTAGAACTGTATAAAAGTATCAAAATTATTTAAATAACGTATTTTTGTAGATTTATGAAAAATATTATTCTAGTCCGGTCAATTTAGACATTCCAAGTTACCTAAATTCCCACCAAGCTGAAAATCGGTAAGATTGTTTTTAATGATATTTTAAACAATCTTACCGATTTTCTCTATACTCTTATTTTTTGGTCTAATTTGACCGGAATATCACGCCATAGCTAAACAATCCAAAAACAATTTTGTAATTAGACTCACTCTTAAAAAATGCAAACAAAATTCAATGTTCATTTTTAACGTTAGCTTAATTACTACATGTAAGTGAAATTAATTACTCATAATTAATAGATCGTTCTGAAATGTGTGTTATACACATTAGTGCTATCATTATAAAACTGTGCTGGGAAAAATGCAATTCAGTATAAATGTATAAATCTTAGAAATGAGTTTTGTTACATTCTTTTTTTCCTACCTATTTGCTGGTAGCCTAAGGGATTATTTCAGCTACGTGCGGACGGGTAGGTGAGCTCACGGGCTCAACCTGAGAGAATTGGCTAACACTAGCCCTAGCAAGATCAGTGCTTCAAGTTTTTATTATTATTGTATTATCTAAGAGTTTTATACAGTTGCATCTATAATTTGTTTATTTCTGCATACATACATTGTATTGTAACATAAATGCTAATTTCAAATAATCTCTTCCATTCTTTAAGTGTATTTATTAAAACGTTATTTTGACCAACATCCAATTCAAAGAACTGAAACAGATTATTTAGAAAAAAAAGACAGCATACCTTAGTTTGAAAATCTTATAAAGTGCGATTGCCCATTTCACAGAGCTTTTCATTAAAAAAAATAAAAATCATGATCTTCCGCTTAATGGAAAAAAAGAAAAAGACGAGACCAGGTACGTCTTTCAAAATTACTAAGTACTTTTGAAAGATATTATTCAGCCATTGTTTTTAATTAGCAAATTATTATAATACAGACTTACTGCCACTACTACTCCAATTAATCAATGTATCTACATTACCATNCATTTCACAGAGCTTTTCATTAAAAAAAATAAAAATCATGATCTTCCGCTTAATGGAAAAAAAGAAAAAGACGAGACCAGGTACGTCTTTCAAAATTACTAAGTACTTTTGAAAGATATTATTCAGCCATTGTTTTTAATTAGCAAATTATTATAATACAGACTTACTGCCACTACTACTCCAATTAATCAATGTATCTACATTACCATCTTCTATGTCCAACAAAAGATTATCCCTATCATCGTATTTGTTTTCTGCTGACCCTAAAACAACATCCTCATCGTTCAATTGCAAGTTTACATATGACAGAGATTTTTTCTTTTCTTCTAAATCAAATATCTCCATGTCGTCATCTTCATCATCATCCGATTCCATCGTGAGTGGAATTCGTGATGACTCTAAGTTGTCCCTCCGGTCTTCTGACTGGAGAACACCATAACGAAACTGGTTTGCATCGATCGAACTGTGCATAGTGTTAGCTTCGTTACTCTTATGCTTACTCCTGAAAAAAAAGGATTTTGATTAAACTATCTTAATTCACAATGTGGACAAAGTTTATATTGATAATTTTAGCAGTAGATAACTTTCTTTTATCCTTGCTATTATTGAAATAGTAAGTAAACTTTGACTAATTTTCGTTGGCTAATTTAAAGGTTTGTTTAAATTGATTTTCAAAACTAACTAAATTAAAATTACATTAAATTAAATTAAATTCTATAATCAATGAATTTTGTAGTAATTTTTTTTATATTTAAATTATTTTTAAGTAATTAACTTTCAGCAAAACTCCCATCAACCTTAAAATGAAAAGCTTTACCTCTGCTTACAATTCCCTAATTAATATTTTACAATTATTATGCTGAAAGATAACAATCTTAATGAAAAGGTTGTAGATTGATATGATAAATCACTATACTGCCAATTCCATGAACAGATAAAAATCTTTAGGAAAACAACCTTTGTACAGTATTATAATCTGTTGGTCTTCATATATGATTCACACTGATTATAACTGTAAAGATATGTACACGATGATAATTGTTGGCCTCGTTTGTAATGGTTTCAGCAAAGGAACAATTACAGTTATATATGTAAAGAAAAACCTTTTTTATGTAATTTTTTTATAAAACCGTAGTTATTTAAAAAAAGGATTTTTCTTATATAGATTAACTGAACTCTTTGCCATTAAGAAAAAATACGAGTTCGGTTTTATTTAATTCAAGAATACTGTGAAAAATAATTTGTGGAAAATGAAGGCTTTAAATGTTGTTTTCTTAATATTGTACAGAAAACGCAATTAAGTCTTTGATTATTGTTTAGCCACTTTTAGAATATTCCATATGAATATATACTTATTACAAACCAATAAATTATTATTTTAGCTTTTTTAACAATTATTTTTTTAGTTTCCAATCTGCAATCTCGATAAAAAATAATCTTAAGTGTCTAATAATCTTAATCTTAAGTGAGAATGAATAAATTACCTGTAAAATATGAAATATGCTACAGCTAACAGAGCAAAGCCACCAAAAACTATAGCACCTCTCTTCACAACCCCAGGACTGTTGAAATCAATTTCTTTTCTCACAGTTGAATTATCCAAAATAGTGAGATTGCTTTTTCCTTCAGTACTATTGTGTACTGAATTAATTGGAGATATGGGATCTTGAATATTATTAGCAGTTGTTGTATTACTTGTAATTATTTTTGTACTTGATTCAGTTGTTTTTGTATCATTTGCAATTGTTGTTACATTTCCTGAAACTAAATTATTTCAAAATAAGTTTGGTTTGCAAAAAAATCTGTAATTTTATAACATCAAAAAATTTGTATGTTGGTTTGTGTTCCAGTTTTTTATTTTTATAATATTTTTTCAAAAGATGATTTGAACTTCAAACTAACAATTCAGGAGGTGAGTTTATGAACATAACTATGGGATCATGAGTACTGGGTTCAATTCCCAGTTTGTGTTAGTGTTTTTTGTGCGTGAATATGTGTGTATGTAAATCTGGCAAAAACATAAAAGATTTAATCGGAGCGCAGGGCATTTTGAATGCAATTAAGTAAATTTTATGTAATAAAACATTACTATATGAATGAAACTATATTAATGTTGATCAATTATTATATTCCATCAGCTTACTCGTAACATTTTCTGGAAATACCAAAACGAGATAACAGAATTAGTCTCGGGTTTTGAGGAAAATTATATTTCAAGAAACATGATAAACTTTTTGATAATTCCATAATTTTTATACTGCAACTGAATATAGAAACTGTATAATTAATTAATGGAATTTTATCAGTAGCTGTGATTGTATTTTAATGTTCTAACTATATGTTGCCAAATGATTAAAATGCTAAAATGTTGTATCTAAAAATTTGACAAGTTTACCTTTTGCATTTATACTCGGTGCGACTGCTTCTTTTGGTAATTCTTTATTACTTTCGATCGCGGTTGAATGTTCAGAAACGTGGCTCTGCACGTGAGGGGTAGAATAATCCTCAACAGCTTTACCGTTCGAAGCCGCAGGAGATGACGCAACATCTGATGATACATTCGAAACTAATGTGGAAGGCAGAACATGAGATCCTACCATTCCTTCCATCTGACCGACACCAACCGTATCAACAGGATCCTGATCTTGGACCGACCTTCGATTCCTCAGATTTCTCGCAGCGTTATGGATTGAGGGCCAAAATGAAAACTCATCAATGAGCTCATTGTTCACCTTGTGTCTTGAGTCTCCACTCGTGTTTACGTTGCATAAGCAAAAGATAATAACACAGCACCGTATTAACATTATGGAAAAGCAACAGCTCACAATGCAATGATTATTACAAAATTCTTGGGTCCTCTTTTATCAAAATTAACCAATGTTTTGCAACATTTAGAAAATTACTAAATCTAAAGTAGGTACCTACATATATACACCCACTACAAGAAATTAAAATGGATTCGAAATAATCCGAATAATTTTCGATTCGCATTAGCGCAACTACTCTCGTGTCAAAACTGTCAATTTCAAACTATGGCATTGACGTTTGAAATAAGACATCTTAAATTCATCCATTCCACAGACGAAGAGAACTTAGCCTATAGAGTAACATTATTTGTGACAAATGCTAACACCATTAATGTTGTTTAATACACTTAAGTCTGCTGTGTGAAAGGTGAAATTGATCAGGACTATAAGGAAAAAGAAATTGATTTTCACAAAAATTTGAATGAAATTAAATGGAACTAATGTGGTAAATAAAACAACACTGTAGGTGTTGGATGAAATGAAATGAAAAAAAAATCCTGAACGAGGCATTTCGGATTCTTCCCAATAACCTACTTGAACTATCAGAGAAGTCGTACCATTTTCTTACATTTATTCGATTTTACTTTTTCAACCAACACCTCGGCCTCATAACCAAGTAGGTATGTAATAATACATGAAGATTGAGCTTGAAGGACACCTGGTTGAAGTGCTTTCTTCTATTTGTAATAAGTATCATCTATTTGAGTTTTTATGGACTTTAATAGTTGCAAGTAATCCAAAATACACAAGACACTGGATTGAGAGCAAATAAAGGAAAAATTTATTTCAGAACTGAACCATGGACTTTTGTTAACTTAACTTAATGTTAGCTAGGTACTCTTATGTGTATATCGCCAGATAATATTCCACTCAAACGAACTGCTCACCTCTTAAGTCATCAAATCATCATTTATGTTAAAAACTTTTATTTGATTAGATTGTCGCCTTTCCTTTCTATTGTTTATTCGAACAAGCCCTATTCTATTTGACATTCAACATTCGATAGTATTAAACAAAATATATATATTTTAACGAAAGGCAAGTATCTGAATTTTAATAAAACCACCGATTACGTACATAGATATTTATTTTATTCAAATAGATACTTAATACTTAATTAGTATTTTAATTAATGTTTAATCTATGTATAATGTAGAATTCCCAAGTTTTTGGTATCTCTATGTTGCAACATCGGTTTGAATATCCACGCAGACTTACCTACTACTACTAAACAGACATCCATATATTTTCTCTAAACATCAAGATAGGTACATAATACACTATTACCTTCTACAAAATTGAACATTTAAAAAATTGGGTATAATAGATTATTTTATCAAAGTCCCTACTAAATTTCGCTGTTGTAAAATATCGGCAGTGATTATTCAGCCTGGCGTCCAACTGACATAGTATACTATATTATATCTGTTTGAACGACAGATAAACTGATGTCCCTAATCATTTGAAATCAGCTAGTAGGTAGCACTCAAACGCATCAGTATAGTTGTGTATTACATCAATGGATTTTTTTTCTTTGTGTATTTTTAATTAAACGTCTCGTTCTTTCTTTTACGCATAAATCACCCCCTAACACCTAGAAAAGTTAAAATTGAAAGAAAACCACGTTCACTCGAATTTCAGATATTAAGAAAACTCTTTGTTAAGTCATACCCTAGATATCTAGAACAATAAGTTAATTTAATCTCTTATATTAAATTTACAAAATTAATAAATATATATAAATATTGATTGATTATCAGCTATTTTATACAAAATCCATAAAGTAGGTAGTAAATGATATCACGTGTCCAAGACGCATCTAAGTTGACACATTAGTTCATTTTTTTTATATTTTTTATAAAGTAAGTAAATTTATAAAAATAGATTGCACCTAAATCAATACGAAAATACTCATCAAATAGATAATGTAACCGAATTTCAAAAAGATTCTAAATTTTCAAATGTTGTTTTCTCAAAACACGCGAATAAATTTATAGCGTAATCTTTATTTCTATAAATATCGAAATCTACATTCTAATTTATCAATGCTATAGTTAGTGCTTTTTAATAATCAAAACTTCATTTATTTATGGCCCCTTGCAATGAAACATTGTAAACTGAATCACCCGTTCATTTTGTACCAAGCATTTATGTAGCCGAAGCAATACTAGTTCCACTAAAGTTAAGTACATCGATTAAAACGAATTCTCAATACAACAACTACCATCTTACGAATAGATTTAATTTTCATAATATATGTTACTTTCATAATCCTACATGTCTATACCAAATGTTGGCTAATAAATATTTTTAAAATTTCAATATAGCAATTTTAACGCTAACTTCGAAACAAAGTTTATTTAGTTTAAGATAAAATTATATTTGAACGTTTTCAACAATTTAAATTAAAGGCATACGTTAATAATAATTGAATTAATGTTTCCTTTTTGCACACATTATATTTTTAATTTGAAAATACCAAATTGTTCAGATTAAGTTATTTTAGAAAAAAATATTGTCAAATTTCAATCAAGCCTTAATTCTAAAATCATGGCACACAAATTACTTCTAACAAAGGAGGGAGTGGTTCACAAATTTACTCGGACTTTGTTATTACAAATATTTTTAAACGAATCTCAAAGAGGTACCTCGCAAGTATAGATATCCGAAAAATGAGCAAAGATCTTTACGTATCAAAAAAATGAGCTGAAAATATGTTTGATTGGTCACATTTAAGTCTCCGTAGTCAGTCTTACAAGAAAACTAATTTGTAATGAATCCGATCAAGTATGGAATGTGTTAGAAATATGCGATAAATTTACGAAATTAATAACCAACATAACGCAACAGTAGGATTACATGTAAACGCTGCTTAAGCTACGATAAAATATCCGGGATAAAAGTTATTCAATCCACATTATAAGATGTAGTAATTACATATCTAAATTCGTCACACGTTCTTACTTTAACACCGAAAATTTTAAGATGAATTTTTCAAACTAGCCGAAATATTATAAGTTGAAAAACTGATGTCCCGCAATAGGACGTCACTGGTAGTATAATAGCCTTATTTTATTCTAAGACTTTTCAAAATGCGTGGAACAGGACATTCTACATCCCTTCTGTCCAGGGATGCTCACTCAAGACGAGCTTTGTAGCTTGTCTTCCAGATTTCAGCGAGGGTAACGGCTGAGTGGAAACGGTGGAAGATACAAAGCGGTAGAGTGAAACGTTGGACCAGAGACCAGGCCACAAATCCGTAGAAATCAAGCTGGACCTAAAAACAATAATCTATTTAGTATTACAATCTCTATATCTATACTAATATTATAAAGAGGAAAGATTTGTTTGTTTGTTTGTTTCGAATAGGCTCCGAAACTACTGGACCGATTTGAAAAATTCTTTTTCCATTAGAAGCCGACATTGTCCCTGATGAACATAGGCTACTTTTTTTAAAATTTTTATTTTTATTATTTTTTGGTTTCATGTGTGTTTTAATGTTTCCGAAGCGAAGCGAGGGCGGGTCGCTAGTAATAAGATAAAAATGAATTGCTGTTCGTTTGTCTCGCTAAAACTCGAGAACGGCTGGATCGATTTGGCAAATTTTGGTCTTGAATTATTTGTGGAAGTCCAGAGCAGGTTTAAAAGGTAGATAAATGAATGAAAATGCCCGGAATTGAATAAAAATAACAATTTTGTTTTTCATTTGATGTGTCCGACGGGGGACGGATTCCTTTTGTTTGTTTTGAATTAATTTTATACAAAAGTTTAGGTCTTTTATGACTTGACATATGACTTGGCTTAGTTGTGCCAGGGGACATTGATGATATCCACCAACGGCGGTGACTACTTACCCTCCGGTGGTCTGTATGCTCATATGCGTACGAAGGCAATAGAAAACATAATATGGTCTACGTAGCTATTGTCGCTCATGGACATTTACATTTGGCCAATCGAGAAAGAGGAGCATAACCATTTCAGTAGCACAAGTTTTGGCCCTCGTGAAATGCCGTTAAGGCATAAGTTTTAGGTAATACTGATTTCGTACATTCTGCTTACATTTCTAATACAAAATAGATAACTCACCGGATTAGCAAGCACTTTCTGTGCTTCGAAAGTATAGATTAACCACATTGTGACGTTACAAATGAGCAAGAAAGTGACCGCCTGTCGTGCAGGCTTACTGCGCTCTTGTTCTGGGAGGTGTACACGGCGCCGAGAAACGTCAGCAATGAAAAGCAATTGGAGAACCACCTAGAAGTTAAATAGTTAATAATATAAATATCTTTTTGATCAATGCAATTGTGCATTAATAATCGCATTGAATTAAAAAGTTCCAATTTCAGTAATCTTCAGCGATAATTCGTGGAGTATACGATCTGGTACCAAAATACCTTTTACTGGTGGTAGGACCTCTTGTGAGTCCGCGCGGGTGGGTACCACCGCCCTGCCTATTTCTGCCGTGAAGCAGTAATGCGTTTCGGCTTGAAGGGTGGGACAGCCGTTGTAACTATACTGAGATCTTAGAACTTATATCTCAAGGTGGGTGGCGCATTTACGCTGTAGATGTCCATGGGCTCCAGTAACCACTTAACACCAGGTGGGCTGTGAGCTCGTCCACCCAAATAAGCAAAGAAAAAAAAAAAATTTTTTTTCGCTTATCGGGTAAACGAACTTAGGACCGACCTCATCTTGAGTGGTTCCCGCACAGCACCGTGACTTTAATACCGCCACCACCTTATGACTTGAAGGCTAAGTCTGAATTGTAGTATATAAATGCTGCATAGCGGCCGAAATGGACATACTACCTGGCTAAACAATACGTGAGACAACAATGAGGTATGTAGATTTCCATTTCGGGTTTTTTACCCATTAGACGATATTCGTTTCTACACCGGCAAAGTCGTTCGTCGATTTGAGCTCCGGCATAGTCTCATCTTTCGATTTAAGTACACCGGTCGTTTAATATTATAGGTCAAGGCGATGCCTTAAAATGAAATAAGTTAATATTAAAATGATTAATTCAAAGTTAAAATATACTCACCTGAAGTACGCTCAAGCATCCCGTTATCATAACCAAAAGGTTAGGTTCGTCTGTGAAAGCCCCCATTCCACCGGCTATGATACTAAACACGGCGTACACGAAGAGACCAAAAGCCGAGACGCGGAGTAAGATGTCATTCAGATCAGACTGTTCTTCGGAGCGGAACTTCAAAGATTGAACCCTGCGAAGAGGCTCGGTATAGGGGGAAGGACTATAGCTCCATTGCATTACACGGCCTCTAATAGGANGGTTAGGTTCGTCTGTGAAAGCCCCCATTCCACCGGCTATGATACTAAACACGGCGTACACGAAGAGACCAAAAGCCGAGACGCGGAGTAAGATGTCATTCAGATCAGACTGTTCTTCGGAGCGGAACTTCAAAGATTGAACCCTGCGAAGAGGCTCGGTATAGGGGGAAGGACTATAGCTCCATTGCATTACACGGCCTCTAATAGGATCGAACCAAAAAAGGTAAACAAATATAGGAAATAAAACCGGATAATTGTTTTTACAAGAAAAGAGAGCACAATAAACGTGCAAAAATAATTAGGAAAGGATAATAGGGGAAACAAGATAAAGGAGAAAGGAAAAAAAAAAACAAAACGAATAAATAAAAATAAACCAGAAATAAACGGGGAAAGCTACGAAGCCATTGTTTCTTTTTCATTACAAAAATTTTATAGCTCAAGCTGTACCAAAACGCTTAATCACTTACCGAATAAATCCAATTAAAATTGCCAGAATAGATAACACCATCAGAGCACAATGAGATACATCAGCCAGATAAATCGAAACGCGCTTTAAGTCGTGATGGCGGATGAGTACGAAGAATAGAATCAAACAGATCAATGACGCGACGAGTAGCAGTAGTCCACAGAAAAGTCCTTTAGATGCTCCAGCGCAATCGACTCTGTTTCCTCGCTGCGCAGCCGCCAACGCCGCCGCCCTGCGGGAGAGAACAGCCTCCAGACGTCTTTCCAGATCTTCATCGTTGGCCACGCTGGAACCAAACGCGTGTGCTCAATTCAATCACGCGTCAAATTCAAACAGCCCGTTGGCATCTTTGTTAATTGTTCGAAGATAATCTAAGCTGTATTCTTCTTTGATAATTACGTAAAATGTAAAATAAATTTTAGCTCTCCATCAGGGAATACGAGTATGCGAACTCCTATCACTTCTAGCTACAGCTGTTAACTATATTCCTTTAAATAATTCATAGTAGCAACAATTCATTATTTACCTTCTACCTCTTAAATACTTCCTGAACCTCACCACTTGTTCTTGTTTTACTGGTGACGGAGATACCTACAGGCTGTTATCACCATCCTATTTGTATTCTGAAGATTTCAGTAGCCGTATTGCAACACTACTGAGAATACAAGCTGATGACTTATCGCAAGCATCGGTATACATTTGGTGATGTCTTTGAGCTAGGATAACGACTCGCCACGAGGAAGACCGTGAGCTCATCTAATGCATTTTAAAAGTATTTATCCAAGTATAATTATTATATAATATGTTTAAAAAATTAACATAACTATGTCAGTATAATTATTGAAGACTGGCTTGAGTTTATAACTTTCGAATATAACTTACCTAGGATAGCGACCAATATGCTTCCACATGACGTATATGACAGCAGCCCCAATCAAGGAATATTCGATGATAAACGGATACAGATAAGGAGCCGAGTCAGACACAATTGTTCCCATAATTGGATTTCTTCCGCAAACAGTTGTATTGTCGATATTTGCGATCAAAGCTGCAGGATTTAAGTTATCGAATGATTCAAAAATTACAGTGGTCTTGTTATCTGAAAAATACATTATTTGTTTTTATAAACTTTTATTTGGTGTTTACTTAGGAAACAAAATAAAAAATCATTAAAATTAACAATTAACAATTAACAAACCAAAGGGGGCATGCTTGAATGGAGATGTAAATAAAAGAAAAGTGAATGTGGTCAACCCGTTCAGCAAACAAATAAATTCTACGTGAAACTGAAGTGATCCCTACTGGAAACGAAAACACAACCCACAATCAACGTTAGGCAACATAAAACAACAGCGGCATAGAAACATACGAACGGCACATCTGCGACAAACCTGGGTAATGAGGTGGATCGTCTACACGATATGTCTCAACGTTATCGGCCCACACGTCTTTATCAGTAACAAACGATTTCGGTGTTGAGCTCGGCATTAACGTAGTTACAGCATTAACGATTGATTTGACAGTAGAAGTAAACGGAAAATGAAAAATTTCCAACATAGCTGTCTGAGTTTGAGTAACTTTATCGGCTTCCGTTGCTACTGATGTGAAAGGATTATCGTTAGGCCACTCTTTATATTCACGACCATATCCCATCCCGTTGCCATAGCCTATTGTACTCTTTATAGTATCGATTAGTTTAGACTTAGGAAGAATACTACCCATGTTATAATATGGCAAAGGGGTTGTTGCTGAAAATTAGTACAACATACTGTTTAATTCACGAACATGCAAAATTAAAAAGACACACATAACTGAAACACTTAGTAGATTTATAGTTGAAGATTATGATTACTAACTTGTAGTGGATGTGGTTGTGGGTGCTGTGGCAGTAGTCGTGATTACGTTTAGTAATTGCTCGCCAGTGGCTTTAGCAGTAGTCATAGCTGTGGAAGCAATACCGGTAACGGCAGTTGTTGCAGCACCGAACACTTTACCGGAATGCCTTAGGGTGTGCTTACGGATGACTTCTGAATGTGAGGAGTTTTAACATTTTAGTAAAGATGGAAAACATACAGCCATTTAAATTTATCGAAGCTGAATGGGATTTAAGGAAAATCACTTACTTCCAAGAATACCCTCGCCGGGAACTCCCAAAGGATTCTTCACGTGGTAATCGGTAATCTCCTTCAGAGATTCTAACACCAATGTTCTTATCCAAACGCATATATTGGTAGCCACTACGTGCATTAAACCAAACCGAGCGATAACTTTAAAACGATGAATGTTCAGCTAAAAAAACGGTTAAGGTAATTTACATTTAAGTATTTATCGGATATTATTTAATGAAGGAAGTTAAAATTACCCGAGAATTCATGAAGATGAAATACATCTGCATAAAAGTGAAAACCATTTGAAGCACCGGATTAACTCCTTTCAAAATGAGATAGCAAGGAGATTCTAAAGGTAGTTCGAAGAAAGTTCCGAATTCCAAACCGTTGTAAATCATTGTACCGAGACCAAATGCTGTAAAGCAAAAAAAAACAATTATTTGCAAATTTAGATATAAAAGATTTTTCAAAATTGCCGATTACTTACCAATTGCTCCAATTCTTAGAAAGAAGCTGCCGTGGCTGTGATCGTTCTGAGAAGTTTTGCGTCTGCGCATTGGTCTAGACACTGGTCCAGCTTCCAACTCAACGATGTCTTGCTGTTGCTATACGTATTAAAAACATATATGAAAAATACTATTTCATTTTGAAAATTGGTATCATGTAAAACTTAAATTATTTGTTGAATGCATTTTCGATCATAGTTCAACTGTGAATCGTGAATATTTATTTGTCACCCATATGCAAAGTTCAATGCAAATTAGTATTACATAAATGTTATGAATTTCGTGAGGAAAAATCTCATGTACACAAGTTCCACATTCAAAGCTTTATTACGAAAAAAAATATTCTAAAAACAAGCTAAATACAACAGCGGTCCAAACAAGCACTATGACGATCAAGTTACTACAACAGCACATCCAAAGCTATCTGAAATGATGTACAAAATATTTTCAAGCAGGGTGTGTCAAATATACACCTCACCTGTTCGGACGCATACAACTGTGCCATTTGCAATTGTAATTGCTGTTGACGAACTTTATCGCGCATCTTACGTGGATACACCTCCTGCCCAAATAATATGTAAAAAAAACAGAAAAGTAGGCAGCTTAAATAAAAAGGGTTTCATGCTGGTTGTTGCATTCTTAATAAAGCTTAAATTATACAAATGTGTTTGGATGATAGGCAGAGCAAAAATTGTGGGAGTGCGCGATTCATTCACATAATCACATAAAAATTATATAACAATAATTAAACTTGGTTAACTAACACGGGACGACACGCGTAAGCAAAAATAATAATTGATTGAATAAAATGTTAGGGACAAAAGTAATGTGGATGTGCTGTGTTTTTTTATTGAAATTTTCACTGACCTGAAATTGGCTTTGCTTCTTTAATTCCTTTCCACTTTTGTCCTTTCCCTCTTTGTCTTTATCCTTATCTTTTTTATCTTTCTTCCCGTCTTTCTTTCCATCTTTTCCGTCTTTAACCTCTTTGTCCTCTTTAGGTTCTTTATCTTTGGTTTTCTTTGCCTTTTCCTTCTTCGGCTTCTTTTCTTTTGGTGGTGGTTTCTGTTTAGGTGGACTTCCACTGCAGCATGCACTCTCTATGGAATAAATCCCTTATAAATATATATTATGAGTATTATTGTTTTGTTATCGATCCGACACTATCAATTCCAAACTCCAATGTCAATTAAAATGAAACATTCTATTGATATATCTAATTTCGTTAATAATTTCTTTAGAAAATACTTAAATTCAATTATAATAATACAAACCTTGAAGTAGGAAGCAGAACACGTAGAGCAAGAACAGAATACTCATGCCATAAAGGTAGGTGAAGAATCCTTCATAGTAGTAGAGGGGCAGGTTGTGTGTGATAACATCGCTGATGACGTAAGCGACGCAAACTACCACCAGCAGCTTGGCGTAGATGAAACTAGAAATGATGAACAGGGATGTCCTGAAATGAGAGCAAATAAGAGACAATATAATATTATACAAACAATGTCAAACAATCAACCATAAATTAAATATCAAATACAATGATCATAAAATACAATTTAGAAGATACTATTTTATTAAAAAACTTAACATTACCTTAATTCTATCCATAGACTAGTCTTTTTTTTTTGGTCAGTAGAAAATCGCCGGACTTCCGCCCTTCTCTGGGGATGGCGGGCGGGGTATGTCAGAGTCGAACTGACTAAAGCCTCCTGTCGCTCAACAACCAACGTCCAAACCTTGCATGAGACAGAACTCATGAAAAGGCAAAGGGGGGAGTGAAGCACTTAGTGCGGAGCACATCTCTTCCATCACTCTCCCCCTCGGGACGCCGGACTGGCGGTCATCGGCGCCACGACCACCAGCCCTCTCGGTCGGCAGACTGTCCGAAGCCCGCCTAGATGGTGCCGGTTAGAGTGGGTTACCCTACGGAATACCCCGCTGGACCAGAACCAGCGTGGGTCGAGGATAGCCGGCCTTCCATCACCCGGATGCTCTTGCGTAAAACACGTGCAGAGCAGCTTGCACGTCGTCTTCTTAGGCCCCCCTCGCCGGTCCCCAGACCAACATGTGAGGGGGACCCGAAAAGAGGGCCAGGGCTTGGGCGAAATCCGCCTCCCTGGCCCCCGCTCGACGGCGGCGGGATTGTGCGTCTCTCACGCGCCCCGCCGCCTCCTTTTACGAGATGGTGCACTCGCGGAAGTCGAGCATCGCCTTTCACGACTCGTCGTCGCCGAGCATCGATGCCACAACACTTGGCAACGACAAGTCGGTTCCTACTTTTGCGACGAGGACACGGCGCCACCCCTCCTATGCGAGGCAGGCGACGAGCGTATGCTCTGCCGTGTCCAAGTCGCAACCACAATGGTGGCACTATGCCGTCAGCTTGGCTGTGATCCGGTGCAGGAACTCACCGAAACAATCATGCCCAATGAGCACCTGCGTGAGCCGGAAAGTGAGGCGTCCTCTGTCACGATTCACCCAATCCACAAGGACCGGGCGAATCGCCTCGACGGTCCTACGACCAGCCGAAGGATCAGCCAGCCGTCTGGACCATGATTCCAGCACGGACCGCCGAGATTGGCCCTCCGCGCTCTGACCACACTGGGGCTGGGACGCGCTACGCCCCGGGCACGAAGGTCAGCCCGCCACTTATAGTCAGCGGCGAGCGCCTCCGCTTCCAGAACCCATGGTGGCGTCCCAGCCAGTACACACGGATGACCCTGACCAAGATGGTGCGTTGCGGCCGTTGCAGCAGCCTCGCCACCCCCACGACAAGGGACTGGCCCCACACGGGCGCCCCGTATAGGGCCATTGATCGCACCACCCCCGTATAGAGACGGCGCGTCACCTGGTCCATAGACTAGTCTAGGTACATTTACATGTAATTGGATTTAAATTAATTTTCAGTGCATATTGTAATGCTTCTAGTATTATTAGACCTGCCTATTAAAAGATAATTTTAAAATCGTTTTATTACAATAATCTAGTTTCATTATCATGATCATCATTAACGGCTTATTTTAGTCCCCTGTTGGACATAGGCCTCTCCAAAAATCTGGTTGAAGCAGCCAAAATTTCACAGAGGCCTCCATGGCTATTCAGGTAAAAATACCGGAGCGCTAATATCATTTTTTATTATTTATATTGCTTTTATGGATGGACGAGCTCACAGCCCACCTGGTGTTAAGTGGTTACTGAAGCCCATAGACATCCACAACATAAATGCGCCACCCACCTTGAGATATAAGTTCTAAGGTCTCTGTATAGTTACAACGGCTGCCCCACCCTTCAAACCGAAACGCATTACTGCTTTACGGCAGAAATAGGCAGGGTGGTGGTACCCACCCGCGCGGACTCACAAAAGGTCCTACCACCAGTAATTACACAAATTATAATTTTGCGGGTTTGATCTTTATTACACGATGTTATTCCTTCACCGTGGAAGTCAATCGTGAACATTTGTTGAGTACGTATTTCATTAGAAAAATTGGTACCCGCCTGAGATTTGACAACCGGTGCATCGCTCAATACGAATGCACCGGGCGTCTTATCCACTAGGCCACGACGACTTCAAATATTAAATAACGCGACTATGTCGGGATTGAAATGCTTTTGTGGACTGCTTCTGAATAAAAAATATGTAAGTCCCAGTTGATAGATTACAGAGCTTGTTTTCATGAACATATTCCATGATGAAAAACCCATTTAATCAAAAACTCATAAAATTTACGAATTTCGCAAAATTTCTGGTCCCTTACTCTGATCTGATGATCTTATGTATATGAGTTTTTAGATCTCATTCTTTTCGCTCTAAAACTACTACTTCCACTTATTCTATCAGGAGTAGTAGTAAAAAACTTATATTATTTGATGCTATTGTCATTTTAATATCTTCTAATTCTAGTTGATGGAATATAGTCACCATAGTTCAATGTTAAAGCCGCTTCGTACCGCTGAGATCTCCACAAAACTCGTTTTAACAAATACACGTCGCAGTACACTTTAGTTTTTAATATTATACTATATGTTTAGATCAAAGTAAACTTCAACAATTATTTCTATCGCACTGTGTTGGATAACGCGCATCAAGTCAAATATTGTTGTTTTTTTTAATTTCTTAGATAAATGGGTGGAATAACCACAGCCCAAATAGTATTAATTGTTAAGTGGTTATCGGAGCTCATAGACATCAACACTTGGCGACGCACCGTAGAGAGTGAGATGAGGACTGCCGACGTGACCTGGAGTGATGTCAAGGAGCAAGCGCAAGACAGGTTGAAGTGGAGACAACTTGTGAGGGCCCTATGTACCAGCGGGGTACCCTAGGACTACAACATAGACATCAACAATGTAAACTCCGCTATCTACCTTGAGCCACGAAGTCTAAGTCAGTTTTATAGTACAACGGCTGCCCCACCCTTCAAATCGAAACGTGTTTATAGATTTACGCAGAAATAGACAGGGTCGCACATACTCATACGGGCTCACAAAATGGGCTACTACCAGTAATTATAAATTTAGTAGTAATTATAAACGCGAATTATAATTTTTGAGGTTTCCGTTGATAGAAAATTGTACTGTTTTAGTTTCGGTAGCCGTTCTCATAAGACGCTTTCTTTATGAATACGGTGTAGCACCGTGCTTTGTCTCATAGGCATAGTGATGTGTAACAATTATTTGGTTGTGGCATGTTTTTTAATAAAGCGATTTGAAGAATATACACACAAAAAGCCCTAACAAGTTTTGCAAATCATCGTGGCCTAAAGGATAAGTCATATTATGTGCATTCATATATAGCGATGCGAATGTTTCGGTATTTGAATACTGCAGATAGGTACTGAGTTTTCCAAGAAATACTCTTACGTACTTAACAAATTTTCACAAATGACTTCTACGATGAAGGAATGGTATAGCCTAATAAAATCAAACCGGCAAAAGTTTATTTCCATATATCTGGTGTATTCCTGGAGCTTGTCCGAGTCGGTACCACCTTCCTAGACATTTAATTCGCGAAAGTTTCATGTCTTAAACGGACAGATTGAAAAAATTTGTCTTAAAAAATAGCCGGTAATATTATTTTAAATTACATTGATATACATAAGATGACAGTTTCGGTAATGTAGGTTTCTTGGTTTTTTTAGAAACCATACGTATAATCAACTACACACGATACAGAAATCTCATGGGATCCAGTGGATCAATGTAGACGACGAACAAAGTTAAACACATTGTGTTATCTAAAAAATCCAGTAACCGTTTGACTTAGCCAGTGTAACAAAAATGTAAGTAAAGCAATTGAAAACTATTCATTAACAAAAAAACTGTTGTGTTTCAATACCAAAAAAAAATCCTCAACAGTTCAATGTTACTTAAATGTTACCGCGCAAATTGACCGGCCCCACCCTTTGAAGTATGACTACAAAACGTACTTTTTGGATGGCTTCGGTTGCACGCATTTGAGTTCCATTTCTTTGTTCGCAGTGTTATGTTTCTCCGCGATAGCAATGTCACTACCCTGCTGCCGATGCTGGCCGACCGGCAGAGTCGCCATGTTGTCCACAGCTTCGAGCTCGACCGTCGCCACTTTTACTTCAGCCTCGGGAAGTGGGTGCCTTTCCTTCCCCATTTTTCCACTTCAATCAAGGACGCGGGGACGAAGAGCTTTTTCAGTTACAAGTCGCCCATATCGGAGGGTTAAGGACAGGTACGGGCCTTGGTAAGGAGCTCTTTGAAGGCAAAAGGCTCCGGAAGTGAGGCGGTGCGGCGTCGGGACTGTGCCTTCGACTCGAGTGTGCCCGGACTTGCGCAGTAACGGATGCTGCGCGCACTCGCGATCTCGTTTAAGGACGCCACCCTCTTGATAGCACCCTATTTCGAATAAATTGTAATTTTGTCTACGAATCAGACTCATTACATGAGGGGGAATGATACTTGAATAAAAATCCAATGCCTTTGTTTTAGATTACATTGGTTCGCCATTATAAATACTAACCCATGTACAGTGTTAATTGGTAAGGTTTTATTCAGTTCTCGATTATACTGTATAATAGTCATTGATTTTCTTATCGTCTTTAAGCTAATTAACTTATTGCAATTATTATTCTACAACAAACTCCAAAGCTGAAGGTAGTACAAATATTACGAACGTCTTTAATATAAACAAATTTATATAAACAAAAATCTAACGCACAAAAGTAAATGTCTTTCGATGTATTAAAAAGTTGTGACAGCCCTACAAAATCTGGCGGCACGCGGTCGATAGAGGCGCGTTTCTCCCGGAACGCTTTGGGAGGGTGCGCGAGCGACCCACTGACCCGGCCCTTGTCCCCACGACACACCCCGGCTCCACCGAAACTACGCACTTACCACGAGACAACCCTAATATTGCACATGCACGTCTCTCTCAACGACATAAAGACGCAATATGAAAAGAAATCTTGGCAATGAATGCCTGGAAGTATGAAAGGGACGGATCCCTTGGTTCAACTTAGGTTCGACGACCTGACCTTATTGTACTGCGAGAGTGCTGTTTAGTATTTGTTTATAAACGAATTTAGTTTAGGCTGAAGGTTAAAATTATTTTTTAAAACGAATTCGGACTATTTTACTGTTGGTAGGACCTTTTGTAAGTCCGCACGGGTAGGTACCACCACCCTGCCTATTTCTGCCGTGAAGCAGTAATGCGTTTCGGCTTGAAGGATGGGCCGTTGTAACTATACTTGAGACCTTAGAACTTATATCTCAAGGCGGGTGACCCATTTACGTCGTAGGTGTCTATGGGTATATGTCTCCAGTAACCATTTAATACCAGGTGGGCTGTGAGCTCGTCAACCCATCTAAGCAATAAAAATTTTTTTTTTTTTTTTTAATTTTTACTACCGTTTATCAATATATTGTGAATTGACAATTGGAAATTCGAGTTTAGACTTTAGACAGTCATAGAGTCTATAGGTTCAACTAAGACGTCACAGCAGAAATGCCATCATGAGATTAGAGTTTTTCTTGTTTTTTTTCCTTTCTAAAGTAAATGGGCGATAATTTAATCCGGACACAGAACAAAAGGTAGCACTCCCTACTAATTACTGGGCCTTACACAATCAGAGAAGTCACTTAAGACGAGCGTGACGAATCTGACGAGTCTTTTTGCGCCATCTGTCTAATTATCTCAGCTCTAACTTTCAGAGGGTCAGCAATACGCGTCGGCGCAACAATTAGAATTGTTCACGAGAATTTTGCAACGATACCTTAAATTATACAATAGTTACTAATGTATTTGTATGCAGTGTCTTTAGTTGCTGACCAGCACTTGGAATGGGCTGTGAGATCATCTTCTCGATGGTAATAATTAAATATAACAACACCCATTTCAGTGAATGCATGCAGTCTATTTCACAATTTTACTCTGTTGCTGGCTTTGCACACTGTACGCATTGACAGCTGATTAGCTGAATTATTGTGACTTTTTATTAAAATTACATTTGCTAACGCTACATTACGCTTCCATACGATGTAATTTAATCATTTAAAATGTCAGGAGTAAGTGAAGTCACGCCGTTGCTAAATCGTATGCAAGACTAATTTTTTTTTTATTGCCCTCGTAGGCAGACGAGCATACGGCCCACCTGATGGTGAGTGGTTACCGTCGCCCATGGACTTCAGCAATGCCAGGGGTAGAGCCAAGCCGCTACCTACCGCTGCCGAGTCGTTCGTGAGCACGCTTTAGGAACGTATTTTATTGAAAAATTTTGTATTCGTGTGTGGAATTTAAACCCAAGCATATTAGCATTGCTTAGTAAGAGAACATTGGGCATCTTATCCTTTAGGCCCCGACGATTTGTCCAATGAAAATGTTCGCGACAATAATAAATACAAAAGACCTCAACTCTCGTTGACACTGCGTAATTAATTAAAATTGTAATAAGATCCAGTTAAACAATTCATCGTCTCAATAAACACTTCATTAATTAATCCTATAACAACACCAGTGCGTGTATAATATTATTTATATCGTCAATGACATAAGACGCCTCGGAAAGACCTTGCATTCTACATACAATACGCAATTAACTAATGTTGTGGCGGTCTCACACGTATGCATTATTTGACGGAAAATACAGTCCGTAATTTCCATCACGTTCAAGATTTTTGGCACTTGGGGTCCGTATGTATTTTGTGATGTCTTGTGCATTCCCGTACCCATCACTCACCGCATCGTTATTCTTTTAATTCTGTATACGGGTGAGTTATATCATACCACCGTGATTTTAGGTGATTATCGAAGCCCATTACGACATAAATACACCCACCCACCTTGAGAGCTGCAGTCAAAGTCGCAATTGTGCAACGGATGTCCCACCATTCAAAAAGGAACGCGTGACTTAGCGGTAGAAATGGGAGAATGCTAATGCCTACGCATGCGGGCTTATGATACGGCCTATCGCTAGTTAATTCGGTGATTACAATACGCTGAACGAAACAGATATACGGCTTAAACACGATTTAAAAAAACGTTCCGGTCTTAAGCAAAAGTTTTCTGCGTTGTGTATGCTGGCCAGGGGTATACATATGTATGCATACGAGACAAGAACAAGTACATTCAGACTCTGAGTAATTAATCGGCTGTGTTGTGGCCTACAATAGTGTAGAAATTAAGAGACGTGGGTGTCGCCGAACTCCGTGCGAGTGGTAAAGTATCACCGTAGAACATGAGCAGTTGTGTTATTATATTATTGGTTATTTTCTCGCAATAAAAACATGAGTCCCTGTTTAGGTAATACAATGAAATTCGGGACTTCATGTCTGGGTATGGCTTAAGGATTGGACAGCTATCATCCAAAACAATTGACGTCGATTCCAAATCTCAAAGTGGGTGACGCGGATTTACGTCTATCGGCTACGGTAACCTTGTTACGTCAGGTGTCATGAGTTAATTTAACCATCTAACCAAAAAAAACTAATTGTTTACTTTTTTACTGGTGGTAGGACCTCTTGTGAGTCCGCACGGGTAGGTACCACCACCCCGCCTATTTTTTCCGTGAAGCAGTAATGCGTTTCGGTTTGAAGGGTGGGGCAGCCGTTATAACTATACTTGAGACCTTAGAACTTGTATCTCGAGGTGGGTGGCGCATTTTACGTCGTAGATGTCTATGGGCTCCAGTAACCACCTAACACCTGGAGGGCTGTGAGCTCGTCCATCGATATAAGCAATAAAAAAAAAACTTTATTTATTACGTATAAAAGTTTACTTTATTCCCAACAGTGAGCGTTTCCGATGCCTTTATTTAGGGTCTTAGGTATGTCCCCTATTTAATGGATTGTCCATCGCGCCCCATGGAAGTGCTTTTATTGAAGCTTCCTCCCATTATATGTATTTATTTTTAAATTGTTCGTTGATTCTGCTTTGTTCGGACAAGTGTCCTTTATTGGTTAAATAGAATGTAATGTGATTACTGTTTGCCTATTGTATGCTGTACTATTTTTTTTAACTAAATCGAAAGGTAGTTCTTTTAAATTTAAAGCACCCAAAATAATATTGTATGAAAAACAAATGCTAGAGTTTGTAAAGTTAACTTCCCGAAGCATCCGTGCCCAGTCAGCACCTGCACCAGACGGAAGGTGAGGCGTCCTCGGCCACGATTCACCCAGTCATCAAAGACCGGGTAAACCGCCTCGACGGTCCGTAGACCCCACGTGGGGATGGCCAACCGCCTCGACCACGACTCGAGCACGGACCGCCGAGAATGGGCCTTCCGCGCCCGCAACTCACTATTGGGGAGACGCGCCACTCCCAGAGCACGAAACTCGCTGCGTCTCAAGGTGGATAGCGGCATTTACGCTATATGGCTCCGGTAACCACTAAACACCATGTAAGCCGTGAATTCATCCAACTATGTAAGAAATAAAAATAAAAAAACATTTGTTTTTTAGATAGTCCAGCCAGTTCATCAGCCTCAAGCTCTTTTTGCTTTTTGTTATTCTGATGCACAATAAAGCATCTATACTAATATTATAAAGAGGAAAGATTTGTTTGTTTGTTTGTTTCGAATAGGCTCCGAAACTACTGGACCGATTTGAAAAATTCTTTTTCCATTAGAAGCCGACATTGTCCCTGATGAACATAGGCTACTTCTAAAAAAAAAAAAATATTTTATTTTTTTGGTTTCATGTGTGTTTTAATGTTTCCGAAGCGAAGCGAGGGCGGGTCGCTAGTAATATATATTATTATTTTTGTTACATTGCCGTTGATTCTTTCATAGATTCTGTACCGCTAAAATCACCGACCGCTTAAAGATTATCATTAAATTTTTATATTACTAGTGCCAATCATATCTAACCATTGTTAAGTCTAAATATCTCATAAACTTAGCCTTACTTCGGTTTCTGCTTTGTTTTATTCATGCATTAAGACAGGAGACCGGTACTTTACTTTAGAATAATTCTATTATAAATAAGAGTGTACTGCTGCTATTGATTCTTACAAATTCATTATCCTCCAAAAGCGTGTCGATTATTCAAAAACTGAAGCTAGAGCTAATAATTATGACGTGTGAGATATTTTTAGTAAAATCTCTTGATAATTCACTAATAATAATTCACTAAATTATTATTAGATTACATTGTGTATTTGTATGTATATTTATTTTGTATTGTATATTATATAAATAGATATATGTATGGTATTTGTGTATGCATGTGTGTGTGTGTGTGTGTGTGTGTGTGTGTGTGTGTGTGTGTGTGTGTGTGTGTGTGTGTGTGTGTGTGTNCAATAGGCGGTCTTATCGCTAAAAGCGATCTCTTCCAGACAACCGTATAATTTATAGAAATTCTGGAAAATATAAAAAATATAG